GTAACTATTTTTTATTAACCAGTTGTTTGTTGTACTGCAGTCTCAATGTTGTCCAAATTTGTGTCTGTTGCGGAGCCTGAGTATTTTCCAAACTTTCAGATTTTTAATCTCTTTGTTACCTGGAAACAATATTACATATAATCAAAATAAAAAGACATATTTACATTTATTAAGACATTACTTACCACTTAGTTGCACTTTATTCCAAAAAAATATTCTCAAGATCCAGATGAAGTAAATCATCATTAAATGAGCCTTGCAATTCATCTTCTGTTTCCTCAACATCAGTAACACCACCAAATATGTAGGCTCGCAAGTTACCAGTAGCACTAGTACAAGCGGACATACCACTTCTAGGACCGGGACGTATGCCTCCAGGTTTAATTGATACCCATTTGTAAGCATTTGCATTAGTACTATGTTCTTTAAATCAAAACAAAAAGTAAGTAGTATTATGATTAAATCATGTGGTATTTCATTATAAAAGTATTCTTACTATCAGCACATAATGCAAACATGTCAGTATGGGTGGTTCCTTTATCCACTCCCTTTTTATTACAGTTTTACTGTAACCACCCCAAACAATAAGACGATCTTGGCTACCAACAACAAAACAAGAACCAGATCTAGGTGAGGGACCTATACCACCTGGCTCAACTTTCGTCCATACATAATCTTCTAATGAAAATATATGTAAATCATTAAAATATTTGTAATCTCTAAGATTATCATGAAATCCTCCAAATATAAATAGTTTCTTCTTATGAGCAAGCTTTAAAAAAAAACATACAAATCAACAAAAAATAAATTAAATTATATCAGATGATAATTTATTTTATTAGATGTTTCTTTTACCATTCTATGTCCACTTCTAGCAGATGGTGCACCACTACGATTAATTTTTCCCAGCGTTTAGTGCTGATACGATAAACCCATAAATCTCTATAGTGATAGAATTGACTTTGCGTAGGACTAGCATATTCTCCTCCAAATAACCATAACTGTCCTCCATCACTTGCAATAGAAACCATTTGATGACCACAACGTGGTGGAGGACCACCTGGTACTTTGACTAATTTCCATTCACTGCTGTTTACATTGTAAACATACATGTCGTTATAAACCATGGTCTACAAGAAAGAACGTATATATGTGTGGTTCAAGAAGAAAAATATAATTTGTATGAAAAATCAAATATTAAGTAGAGAGATAAATTATATATTTACTTTTGGCCATTGAAATATTCACCACCAAAAATTAATATTTCATCTTTATCAGGTAAAGCTACAATACTAAAATTAACTCTTGGCGATGGTGGAGGTACTATTGTTTCGTTACTTCCAATCGTTTTGCTTCTTCTTTTTCAATTTGGGCAATAATAGTTTCAATATCATCCTTTAAAAAAATCATTTTTGAAATTATTTAAGATTAAATTAATTTTATTAAAATAAAGTTGTGGGCATAACCTAACCTCTCCTAAGGCTGCTAATTGTTTTTCTGTTTATTGATGATTTTTTTCTCTGTTTTCATAGCCGTTTTCTCGGCTCCTTTTATCTTTTTTTATCCTTGCCTTTTTTACCCATTTTTATAATAATTAATAAATAACATTAACTATTAAACAATTTCAATGCGTTTCAAAAATAAAACACAGAATTAAACACCATGTGCTTGCCCAACTGTCAGTGTCAAGTGAGATACTGTTTTACCTGTCAAACTTCAAGTTTCAATTTACCCAGTTTTTTAAATAATTGGGACTATTTAAATTTTAAATAATCTAAATCAATAAATCAGATATCTTATTTATTTTTTTAAGTATATATATTGTGATCATGAATATTATTTAAGTTAATAAATAATAAAAATAAATTATGTAAGAAAATTAACAGTACCAAGTCAAATTTGATCCTTACATTGGCAAACTAATTTCTATAAATTATTTATTTAAAACAAAAGTATAGTTTTTATTATTTTCGGTAAATTAAAATGTCAGTATCACATATTCAAAATTTACTCAAATGTGGATTTATTAAAAAATCTTTCAACTTGTTCCAATCTGTACCAAGAAGACCTTTAAATGCAATCATACAACAGCAAACTAAATTTAAATTCAATGATGGCAACTGTAAACTTAAAACCAGTCATGTTTCTGAATATACAAATTCAAACAACAGCAGAAATTACTTAATTATGCTCGGTACTAGTATTTTCACATGGCTTGGATTTTCAACAGAAGTTGAGGAAGAAGATGAAATGATCATGGTCATTAAAAGATCAATTTTATGTATACAGAGAGATGAGCTTGCAAAGGCTGAACAAATGTTGCATGTAGCATTACGAATGGCACAACAGAAACAAAATACATTAGGAGTTACTTATATACATGATATAATGGCTAATTTAGCACTAGATCAGGGCCAATTAGATAAAGCGAGAAAAGTTGTTTGTTAGTGTTATGCAACAATTGTTGCAGCAAGGTACTTCACAAGATGATTTGAAGGTATTTTTGTGTTATATAAAATTTTTACTGCAAAGCATCAAATATCATAACTGTAACACTTATAATAAAGATGCTGCACATAAGTTTAAAACTGGCTCGCATTTATTACTTACGAAAAGAATTAGATAAAGCAGAATTAGGTTTTGAATGGGCTTTGAAGGGTTTGAGTAAACATGTAGCAGGACTAAAAGAAGCAAACAATGATGTTTTAGGTTTATGGGGAATGGCACGATACTGGTATGCTCAAAAGAAAGTGAAATTTCATATTATGTATTATATAGAATAATATTTTATATAGGTTTGCTCATTTTCAAATTGAGAAAGGAAATTATCAAGAAGCAAATGAACATCTTCTAGCAGCTTACAATACGTATGTTACAATACATGGGACTGATACAGAACAAGCTGCTGTACTTCTTAATGATCTAGGAGCTGTTAATTCTCATGTGAGTTGTTATAAGCATTAAAAAATAATAAATATGTAATATAAATTATATTTTTATTAAAACTGCAACCCAATAATGCAGACAGGGAACTTAAAAGATGCTGAGCATTATTTGAAAAGTGCCGCTAAACTCAGCATGAAATTACCTGAGATGGAAGAAATTGGTTCAATATATGCAAATCTAGGAATAGTTTTCATGAAGCAAGGATTATTAGAAGAAGCGAAATCTGCATGTGGAAAAGCTTGGAAACTTGGAAATGGAAATAAGAATCATGAAATTGAAAGTCAAGCAACATATTGTTTAAATGAATTAAAAAAAGTATTAAAGTGAAAAATGCCTAATATCATGTAGTCTATTTATTGAACAAATATATTTGATATTTTAAATAAATGTTTTTCAATATTCATTAAATGATAAATGGGTTCATATTGGTTTACATAGAATATCACTAAAAATATGTGATTAGTTTTGAACAAAATAAAGAGATTATGCTAATTTCAGTCTTATGGATCATACACTCAAATGCATAATCAATATTTAATTGCTACCATACCATGTTCCTAAAATAAAGATTTATTTCCTTGCTCATTCAAATCGAGCAATTAAAACCATCATGTACACACCACATAATAAACCAAAAATTTCTTTAAGTGATTGTTTCAATTTTGTAGACCTTCTAATAATTCAGGTATCACAGAAACTGTAGCAATATATATAAATCCTCCTGCAGTAAATGGTAAACCCATGTAGCAGCACCTGCTGTTCCACCGCAGATTAAAGCTATTGAAGTCCCGCCAAGGCACCTAATGCTGTTATTAATTGCAAACACATAGCCTTTTTCCTTGAGCAACCCGATTGAATCAAAATAGCAAAGTCGCCTATTTCATGAGGTACTTCATGAAGTAAAATTGTTATAGTTGTTAACATGCCAAAACTATTTCCAGCTAGATAGGAAGCTCCTATTGCTAATCCATCTGTAAAATTATGTGTAAAATCAGCAGCAAGATTTAGATATCCTGCAACTTTGATCTCAGGTTCTTTAGGTGGCGATTTTTGTTTTTTATCTTTAGTTTTTTCTACACAGGCATTGTGAGAGTGTCCATGGCCTCCTTTCAGAATTCGTACTAATTTTTCAACAGAAAGAAATGTAATAATACCTGCAAGTACCCACATACCAACACTCATATCGTGTTTATGACTTCCATCACCATGAGTGTGTGCATGTGAATGTGAGTGACTGTGATCAGAATGATCATGAGGCATCAGAGCATGTGGTATCAAATGCAGAAAAGCATCTCCTAGTAAACCTCCAGATCCAAATGCAAGAAGAACTTTTAATAGAGGTTTTTTCTCTGCTGTACTATCGAGAGGTACCAGAAACAGTATTAAGAATGGTGCAGCGCTTATCAATAAAGTTGCTCCTAGAGCACTTATCCATACTTCAGAACTGGTTCTTAAATTACTGGGCTGGTTGCTAACTTTTGGTTTTTCTTGTGTGTGATGATGATGATCGTGTGAATGATGGTGTTCATGTGTATGTCCTTCATTTGCTTCGCGGGAATACTTGAAAGAAGGATTTTCATCGTGAGAGTGACCATGACCTTGGCATATGGCTGGTAAACTCAAGAATATGATAATACATATTAAACCAATAATTATATTTTTGTACGAACGCTTTGTCAAAATATTTGTTTTGGGCTTAGACATTATAACTTCTAATTATTTTACATTAATTTTGTACTATTCATTTAAACATATAAGACTAATAATTTAAATATTTGCCATTTATGATGACGTTACACTGGTTACACGTACATATTTGTCATTTTTATTCTGCTCTGCTTCAATTACAACTGTCATCGATAATCAATGCATCTGTACCAACCAGGCAGAAGAAATCCGTTAAATCCATACTGACATGTTGACAACTTCATAATAACTGAAGCCAAGATATATATTCTACTATGGCAATACTTTTCTCGCATGAAAAGCGACAGATAACTATTCTGATAGCTACTGTCAACGTGTTTTAACGGATTTTTTTATATTTATTAATTTTTATTCCTAGTTAAATTAGTGCTGCTCTAATTTTTATAAAAAAGTTTAAAAATGACAACAATTTACTGAATTTGAATTGACATATCAAAAACATAGTAGCAATGGCCAGCCGAAAATTAATCTATTCTCCTTGTTCAAAGGAGAACTTTGATATTAGTTGCAAAGATTCTATAAATAGGGCTGATGGTATCAATAAACAAAATAATATAGTTATTAGAACATCACTGGAAACTCAAAAAACACCAAAGACACTGAAAACACAAAATATTAGTGATTCTGCAGTTAGTAATTACAAATACAGGTACTTATTTACTTTAAATACATTTATCTCATTTCCAAACATAATATAATTGATTTGTTTTTTAGTAATCGTACACCGCAACGTTTAAAGACACCTAGATCAATGAGTGCAATTCCTTCTGCCATTACTCCACTAAATAATCATTATTCAAGTAATTCAACACCTTCAAGTACTCCCTCAAGATTGCGCTGCAAAAATGTGAATTCTTTAATGCAAACGCCAGAATGCTTTAATCAAGTTGTGATGGAAACCCCAAATAGCATGAAAAGTTCTCAAAAAAGTAGCAACACCGTAGATGAAATAAGTAATCTTACAGTGGCAGTAAGAGTCCGCCCTATGAATACAAAAGAATTAAACACTGTTTCCATTACTAATATAGTGATGGTAGATGAAGATGAAGTAACAGTATTGGGCGGAAACACAGCTGATTCTTTAGGAGGAGTTAGTCACAGTTTTCAGTATGATCAAGCGTATTGGTCTTGCGATCCAGAGCACCCGTTTTATGCAGATCAGCATACTATTTTTAATGGCTTAGCTATGCCTTTGATTGACAAAATCTTTGAAGGTTACAATGCTTGTCTTTTTGCATACGGTCAGACAGGATCAGGTAAAACTTACAGCATGATGGGTATTGATACAGGCGCTGAAGATTATGATGTAAATAGTAGTGCAAGTGAAGCAGGCATCATACCACGTTTCTGCCATGAGTTATTTTCTAGAATAGAAAGATTAGATAAAAATGTTAATGCAACTGTAGAAGTCAGTTATTTTGAAATATACAATGAAAAAATACATGATCTTTTATCACTGAATATGGCTAGTAATGGTCATAGAGCACCTCTTAAAGTAAGAGAACATCCAGAACTCGGCCCATATGTGGTAGATCTAAGTATGCAAGCTGTTAATAGTCATATTGACCTTCGAAAGTGGTTAGCTGTTGGTAACAGTCGCAGAGCTACTGCTGCCACTGGAATGAATGATAAATCTTCAAGAAGTCACAGTATTTTTAGTGTTGTTTTAAATATATCAGGGCCTGAAGAAAATCAAGGGATCCGTAGTAAAATCAGTCTTGTAGATTTAGCAGGAAGCGAGAGACTAAGCCATACATGTGCAAGTGGTGAAAGACTCAAAGAAGGAGTTAGTATCAATAAGTCTTTATTAACACTGGGGAAGGTTATAGCGGCACTAGCTGATTGTCGCAAAAGTGGAGTATTTGTGCCGTATAGAGAATCTGTTCTTACTTGGCTGTTAAGGGTGAGTGATTTATATATAAATCTTATATATATAAATATATATAAAAATAGTATATATATATATATATATATATATATTTATTATTATATTTATTTTTATATTTTATTCAAATTTTTAACTGCAGAATATGATTGTTAGTTCAATTTTTTTTTTAAATCTTTGTGGAATATTTTAAATACATCATTACTCATTTTATTTAAAATTTAAACTATAAATAATTTTTACGAACAGTGTCTTCTTTCAGTTCCTTTTGAATGAAATAAAATGCATTTTCATTCTTCTTATGTATTTTTTTAATTTCTTTATGCAATTATAATTTGTATAAACTATGATATAAAATTTGTAGATATGTTAAGTCATGATCATATTCAATTTTTATACTCCCTATATATTATTTTATATACAGTTTTCAAATTATATTTCAGTCTGAGACATTTAAGTATTTTTGGATATTCAATTCCTTCTAAGTGTTTAAGTATTTTTGTTCATTTTAATTAATCTAAACATATTATCGAATTTCTTATACATTTACTAATATAAATATAATTTATAAGTAACTAATATATAAGTTTCGTACTTTTACTTCAAAAGTACCTTATCGTGGTTTTCAGATCATATATATTTGAGATTTAACAAGTTCCCAATAATACCAAAATATGGTCTATTTTATTCATTTGATTTTTCATGAGAGCAGGAAATCAGATCCAATTTTTACATGGACTTTTGTCACAGTATATCGATGTTTGCAGCAACATGTTCCTCCTGTTGAACATTTGCAATTTTCGCCTCTGCATGTGCCCCTTGTGCATTTGCATTTAGGTTCTATAAATTAAAAAAATAAATTAAATCATAATTTAGATTTTATAATTTCACAATTAGCCTTTGAAACACATAAAATTTATTACAAATTACAAATCTATTCAGTAGACAAAAGCTGTAATAAATAAATTTAATTTCTATGATTTTAGACAATCATTTTATAAGGGTCTGACAAATTGCGAGCGATCGTACTAATCATTACATAAACGTGCAAATTTTGTCTAATCCTTTTAATCCGGATTACAAAGAATATTTAAGCTTTACCGTAATACCGACTTAATAGAATAACACCTGCGTAGGTAGCCACTTTCACAACTTTTTATGCATTGAGGAAAATAAACATTTTGTTTATATATATATATATATATATATATATATATATATATATATTTGTTATCATATGCACTTATTGTAAATATTTTCCATACCCTATTATCACAATTTCCTGCAACTTTTTGGAAAAAGTGTGTCAAGAATTCAATGCGTAAATATTAACCAGATTCCGATGTTCGATATTTCGCTAGATTGCGACAACATTTCATTTTCTTATTGCTAATGGAAATTATTTAATGTTAACCATATCAAACGAACTAGTTTGTTGTGCAACTAATAAATGATATATAAAATATCGTAAAATATCAATATACACACTAGTCAAAAGAATGCATAAGAAGATAAAATTGTATAAATGTTTAGAGATAGAATAGATTTTCATAATTTTGCTCTTACATTGTTTAATATGAAGATATATTGCCGAATATTGAGCGACTCTATTTATTTATTGGAACTTCTGAGGATTCTATTGCAAAATAACTTTGTATATTCTACATGGAATTAAAATATAAGATTACCGCCAAATTCATTGAGTAACTTTATAATTACATCTATTGGAACTTCTGAGGATTTCATCGCAAAACATTTTTAAAAACCAAAAATAAATATATTTTGTATGTCTTACACGGCATTTAAATATTATAAGACTGAAATAAAAAACTATTTAATTGAAATCGTGACTCTATATTTTTATACACTGATACTGCTGACCATGCTATTGCAAAATAGTTTTACAAACAAAAAATGGTTAAATTTTGTATATCATAATGGTCATTCAAATATAAAACCAAATACAATAACTTTTTAATTAAAATCAATCCTAGTCTTACCGCCAAATTCATTGAGCGACTCTATATTTTTATCTGTACTTCTGATGATTTTATCGCATTTATATTTTAACAACCAAACATGAATATATTTTGTATATTTTATGAGGGCATTGAAATACTGCCAGACAAAAAATAACCATTTATTTAAAATCAATCCTAGTCATACCGCCAAATTCATTAAGTGACTCTATAATGTTATTGAATGGAATTTCTGATGATTTTATCGCATATATATTTTATAAACCAAAAATCATAAATTTTGTATATTCTATATGGCCATTAAAATATCGTAAGACCAAAAAAATAACTAATTAATTGAAATCTATCGTCTTTATCATACCGCCGAATTCATTAAGCGACTTTATACTTTTATTCAGTAAACCTGCTGAGCATGCTATTGCAAAATAACTTTATAAACAAAAAATGGTTTAATTTTGTATATTCTACAAAGCATTCAAATATAATAAAAACCAAAAAAATACTATTTAATTAAAATCGATCGTCCTTCTCATCAGTACAGAATCTTCAGGTCACATGCATATGTGACCTATTACTTATAAACTATAATAATTAACGCCAAAGCACGACGAAATGCAGTAAGATTGAATTCTATCACAACTTTCAAATAACTGTATGATAGTAGTAATTTAACTCTAGAACATACCTTCTCTATTTTTATGTCCATTTTTGCGCCAGGCGGGTAATTTCAATTTATTCCACATGATGTTCGCAGTTTTCTCGGCAGTGGCGATAACAAAACTCGCGCAAGCGCTTTTCTTGCTACAATCGCGGGCAAACGACTGAGGCGAAGGATAAATTATAAAGACTATCAAAATTTCACTTTAGTCTTGATTCCAAGTGTATTTCCAAGTTTCTTTAAATCCAACTCCGAAATCAACAATTTCAAAGATTCTTGAATATTAATTTTTATGATACTATATAAGCGTCGTAGTATTATTGTTGCGTCACGGTCGTATGATGCAGTGATGGTAGGGATGCGACTTTTACTAATTCTATTTGTTTCGAAAACTTGTTTATCACTGATATAACTGTTTGAATCGTTCTACGTCCAGTCAGTGGCAAACGATCTGCGCGCTTTGGTTTTGTTTAGCCACCGATTGGTTTTGCGCACGACACCATTTGTTCCGGAACATTCGCCGAGCCGGGTGCAAATTTACCCGAGCTTTGCTGATGCGCAGATTTTTTTATAAGTTTTATTTTGATGATGGTATGATATTTGTATAACAAATAACATGTTTTATATGTAAATGTAAACAGATGGTTATTTTTCTGTTTAATTATATGAATTCATATAATGTCTATTTTTTCAAAAAAGCAGTGTACAACGATACACTTGCACGAAAAGATAAATCATAAAATTATTAATTGTATTAATTGGTACAACAATTAAGAAGGCATTCAGGAGTGTAGAGACATCAATTTTAGGTCATTTTTAAATCATCCTAAAAAAAGGAAAAACATTTTTTTAAACACTATTATTTTTTTCATAATTCATTTATCAACGTAACAAAGAGTATTGAAAAAAAGTAAAACAAAATTATAAAAAAAATAGTAGTTGTTGAAGTGGGGTCTCAAAAAATTGGCACGGGACCGTAGCCACGATTGCAACCCTTCTAGTAGTCCGAAATGAAAAAGACTAGACTAGAAAGAGTAGACCGAAAAGAAAGAAAAATTATGTTCCAATGGCATATACTAGAATTACGATAAAATAATACGACCAAATGACGACTGTTGCAAAAAAGATAATTTTTTACCACCTTTTTAATTTTTAGTCCAGTCATTTAAGCTTAAATTAGGTAAGAATCTCGGAATTCGAGATACCCAGCTGTAAGTCTGTATATACTTGTATTTTGCACCCTAAAAGTTGTTTTAAAACCTATATATGGTAGTGTGTATGTAACATTTGTAGGTTTTGAGACAACTTTTAGGGTGCAAAATACAAGTATATACAGACTTACAGCTGGGTATCTCGAATTCCGAGGTGAACTTACTATAATAACTGGACTATTTCTCAATTTAAAAATAGCTTTAAAAATAGCAAGAATTGAAATTTGGGGATGAGGCTAGTATATACTAGAGAGAAGTCTATAAATAAGATTCACTGAAAATTTCAAGTGAATCGGCTCAAGAAATGGTGGAAATCGCATTGAAACAGACAGTTTTGAGAAAATCGCTTTTTAAGTTTTGCAAAATGAAGGAAACAGAAGAGGATTATTATGGTCAAACAGCTGTAACTTTTACTACTTATTTTACACAGTAGCCTCAAAATATTATGAATATTTTTTTCAATAATTGACACAAAATTTAAGGTTAAAAGGGTAGTTATTTTTTAAAAAAATCTATTGAATTTCCGTAATATTGATAACATTTATTCAACCAAAAACACTTATAATTAATTTTTTTTGAGAATGTCTTAATTAAGGAAGGAAGGGAAGGAAAATCATTGATTTGTGGTGCTCTCACACAATGAACCTGTCTCCGGGAATACAATCATTTATTATTATGTCTTAATAGTCGATTTTTTTTATTTTGTCAGCATATTATAAAATTACTACGTTTTACATTACGACCATGAAGGCCAGAAACTCGTTTAATAAATTGCACTGCTTTTGTAGGTTTTCTATATGCTACAGGCTGATCATATTTGCATTACAGTGCGTTTAAAAGCCGACGTAAACAAAATAATTATATTGATCCAAATAATTGAAAAAACAAGTTTCTTAATGCATTTTTGTAAATATTGTCACATCATTCAACTATACTCTTGACTTAGTCAGGCTCTATCTTATTTATTGATGTTAGTGTACCGCAGATTATTGAACTTTTCTAAATAATATTTGCATTTTTCTATACAAATGTGAAAATAATACAATTTGCACAAGTAAATTCAATTTTTGCAACACTGGAAATAACAATGCTTTTATATTTTCCACTTTGTGAGCAAAGAATGTTTCACACCTATTGTGCATTGTTAAAATAAATTGTTTATGAATATAGAAACTTAGTCACATGAGACAAAAAGTATAACAGAATCTCAACAGGATAGCCTGGATTTTTTTAATATTGAATATTAATTAATATTTAATAAATGCATATAAAGTGTATTTAGGATGCTGTGAGATCTTAAAATGTTTCTTACAATTATTTACATATAAATTTATTAAACTTGAGAGATTTAGATACATAGACACAACTGTAGTTGCAGAGGCATCAGGCCATTTATGATGGATATTTGTTTCAATAAGTAATTTGGCTTAGTTTTTTCTTGTAATTATAAATTAATAATATGTTTAGTGGTAAATGAATTTATTGTATTTTTAACAATTTAATATTACATTTTTAGTCAACACAA